GTCCTCCGACGCTGTCCGAGTAACACACAGCACGCCACACACCAAAACTAACACACGCAGGCGCCGGTCCAAGCCCTGCCCCCATGCACATGCGCCTAATCCTTCCAAGTCTGCCGCGACTCGCACCAGCCCCCGAGTCGGAGGGGGAAACAATCGCACGTGCCACGTTCCCCAAAGTCCCGACAGCTAACCGCCGACTCCCCGAGGAGCTAGGCACTCCCCGTCCACACACGCCTCTCCGCCCGCGCTCACACACGGGCTTGGCCCCTTCATCACAAACGCCCCGAGACCGCACTACCCCACACGTGCGAACACACGTGCCACACTCCCAGCGGACAAGCTCCCGCGGCCCCACCTGTGCTCCGCTGGCCTGGCGGCCCCGCGCCCTCGGAGGGGAACCGCGACGGCCCCTCGCCCACCGCACCCTCCAGGCCCCCGAAGCACGCCCGCCGGGACGCAAATCCAGACGCGCGGCGCCCGGGACCCCGCTGCCCACGCCGACACGCCCAAGAACCCGCTTCAGAACCGCCGGGTCGGGACGCCGGGGTGCAGACCCCAGACCCGCAGCTGCCCCCCGGGACCAAGTTGCCGAAGCCGACACGCCCAAGAACCCGTTTCAGAACCACTGGGTCGAGACGCCGAGGCGAAGACCCCAGACGTACAGCCGCCCGGGACCACAATGCCGACACCGACTCCCAAGAACCCACCTCAGAACCAATTGGTCGAGACGCCGTGGCGCAGAACCCAGACCCACCGGCCGTCCGGGACCCCGGTGCCGACGCTGAAATGCCCAAGAACCCGCCTCAGAACCACTGGGTCGAGACGCCGCGGCGCAGACCCCAGACCCAATGCCGCCCCGGACCCCGCTGCGGACGCCGACTCCCAAGAACCGGTCTCAGCCCCGCACGGTCCACACCCGCACACCGCCCGAAACACTCGCGCGTCAGCTCACCGTCGCGGCGGCGGTCGCCGAGCGTCCACGCGGCCGGTTGCTACGTGACACGCGCGCGCACAAGCTAAGGCCTAAACACGGCCACCGCGGCTACGCCTGAGCGACTAAGGGCGCGCGACCCTGGCCTCGACTTGACGTCACGGGGGCACGAGGCCGCCAGGCAGGGCACCGCCTCCAGCCGGGAGGGCCGTTGAGCCCCGCCCCCACGCGCGCGCGCGCGCTCCCCGGCGCACCGCCTCAACGGACGCGGCGGGCCCTGGGGGGCGGGTCCAGGAGCGCTGCAGCCCCGCCCCCCTGGGCGTGCGCGGGCGGGCAAAGGACACGCAGGGACGCGCCTGGAGGTCCCTGCGGGGTAGGGCGCCAGGGGACCCTCTCGCGCTGGGAAGCCACTCGGGCGGCTCTAGCTCGGACGGGACGGACTCTTTATGGCCGTCCAGCCTTGGAGCCGGCGCC